GGGGAGGGCTTTAGTACTGACCCAACCGGGACTAAAGGCCCTCTAGAATCGGGACAAATGGCCCTTTTTCTACTAATGTAGTTATTAGTAATGGGTTCATAATCTCAATATGAAAATCAGGATCCGCCATAAACATCTTGACTTGATTTCATCTTCTCGGAGCGACTTGGCTGGGCACGTACATGGCTAGTTCTCAGCAATCTTCAAAGCAGCAACTGTCATAAAAGAAAAAAAAAGTATGTAACAGACGTAATCAACATGGCATGTTAAATTACCAAACATGATATCTGAATTAATCAACGAGTAAACAAATCTATCCAAGCTGTGATTCTGTTTTACTTTACTGTGTTTACATCAATCGATATGGTTCTTCTCCAAAAAGACATTGGGTTTATAGGTACTCCTATATATACTGAACAACTAAATGCTTCGAAATTAGTTGTCCCGAAATATAGATACATGGGTGCACACCTTCACGGACAGGGACTTCTGAACAACCATCACTCTGCCAGTATCCAGTAGTTGTGCCAACCTGCTATGGTAAAAGAGAGAAAATGTTGCCAACAACAAACAAGAGATGGTCAATACGGTAACATCCAAGACGGCAGTTCATAAACTTGTCTTCAAAACAATTAGTTTGTACGGAACATTTGGTAACATAAGTCTATTTAAATGGAACAATGTGATGAAAATTGGAAATCAGTCATTACATGGAACGATGGATGTGAGAGCTACCGTCTGTAGCATAGAAAGAAACGTGCATCAATAGCAACCAGTTTGCTGGTACAATGCAGCAACACTAGAATATATATGTATGTGGTTCAAACAGAAAAGGTAACATTTGTACCCATGGATTCAGGTGTGGAGATTTCAGAAACACGTGGGGATTTCTCACCTTTCCGGAGACAGGAGGGTAAGGACGTGCTGGCAGCGGCACCTTCTTCTTCTCCATATCGCTTGTAGTATCCTAGAGCACAGACAAAAACTATTGGTTGAAAGCGGACCGGGTTAAAGGAGGTTTGGCAATGTTTTGTCGAAGCGCAGGTTGCAGCAACAGAGATTGGCAAGCCCACTTATCAGTAAACAAAGATGCTGCAGCACATGTCAATGATGTACTAGTAGTATCTATTTGATGCTATTCGCATCACGGACACATAGAAGTTAAAACCGGAAAACCACGAACTTCTAGCTAAACTACAGAATCGGATTTTGAGTTTAGCGACTGTGCTGCATGCCTAATGACGATGTGCCACCAGTGATTTTGATTTAAACTTTTCTTGTTCTGAACATCCTTTCAATCCGTAATTGTACCTATCGTTCTGTTCGAATACCTTAAATTTCAATTTCAAATCAAGTAATACCTTTCTACTTGCGTTTATCTTCACAATCAAACTTTTAGAAGGGCACTGCAATACGCCGCTCTAAGCAAGCGGGAAGCACGTGATCGCCCGAGCGATGCTTAAATGGGCATCTGTTAATGCATCCCATTTACAAAGGTACTTTTTCTCTCTTTTCTATTTTTAAAGTTATGTAAAAAATTACAATCAAATCAACAATAACTGTTTTAGGTAACTAAAGGAAATTATTTATGTACTTGTTTTAAATGATCATGACATTTTA